TCTCCCTCACTCACTCTCTCTCTCTCTCTCTCTCTCTCTCTCTCTCTCTCTCTCTCTCTCTCACTCACTCACTCACTTTCTCTCCCTCTCCCTCTCCCTCTCTCTGCCTCACTCTCTCTCTCTCTCTCTCTCTCTCTCTCTCTCTCTCTCTCTCTCTCTCTCTCTCTCTCTCTCTCTCTCTCTTTCTCCTGTTTATTAACTGGCACAATTTTCTTTCACCATGTTTTCTCCAAAAATGCAAACTGGAAAATACAAGAAAATGTGAAATTGGAACAAAAACACAAGAAAAACGGGGAAGAAATACCAATAAGAATTATTTTTAAAGAGAAAATAGCGATATATAACGAGAACACCAGCCAGTATAATTAAAAGAAAAGGAGAATATAGTTAAACAGCAATAAAGATAAGTCCAGGAGAGGGAAGGGGGAGATGATAACCGAAGAAATAGATGGATGTTTGTGCTCCCCAGATGATTTGTTGTCTGCGTGTATGTGTGCGTGTTTGTGCTTGCGTGTGTGTGTGTGTCTGTGTATGTGCATATGGTGTGTGTTTGTGCGTGCGTGCGAGTGTGTGCGTGTGTGTTTGTGTGTGCGTGCTTGCTTGTGTGTGTGTTTGTGCGTGCGTGCTTGTTTGTGTGTGTTTGTGCGTGCGTGCTTGCTTGTGTGTTGTGTGTGTGCGTGCGTGCGTGTTTGTGCGTGCTTGCTTGTGTGTGTGTGTGTGTGTGTGTGCGAGGGTTCTCAGAGAGCGAGTAATTGTGTGGCGATTTTCTCTTTCAGTTCCGCTCATCTTGAGGGTTTGGCTAATTCCTCCTGCGCCTCTTTTTGATGTTGCTTTCCATCCCTTTGAGGAATTTTCTTTCTCTCTCTTTCCCTTTTTTTCTTCTTCTTCTTCACCCTTCTCTCTCTCTTTCTGTCCGTTTCCGTCTGTTTGACTCCGCCTCTCTCTCTCTCTATCTCTCTCTATCTCTCTCTCTCTCTCTCTCTCTCTCTCTCTCTCTCTCTCTCTCTCTCTCTCTCTCTCTCTCTCTCTCTCTCTCTCTCTCTCTCTGTATCCCTCTTAATTCTTGATATATATGTCTTTCCTTTTATTCGCCTCTTTCCCCCAGGCCAGAGGCGCCGCGTCCTCAGTTCCCGGCGTCTGTAACCCAAAGCCACGAGCGCATCGTTCGCCATTTTAGAACATTGAGCAGCGTGACCATCAGCTGTTATTAGTTAGAGGTGTTTTATTATAGGTGATTGCGGTTGTTAGCAGTATCTATACTATGAAAAGAATATACAAATAATCGTCATTTATTTTTGTCTTTATAAATAATCAACTGTGAATATGAAGTGTTATAAATGTCTTTAGCTCATGGAATTGCCTTGGGTATTGTGGGCGTCCGACCGCCAGGCTATTTTCCCATTATATCGATGGCTTTCCTCTCGCAGTTACTAGACAGAAGTCACTCGTTCTGCTGCAAAAGTAATAGTGATAACGGTTTGTTGTTAACACTTGTAATGATAGTACATGTCTGTACAGAGCACAGCTGATAAAGCCTAGGGACTTAGGGAGACTAATTTACAGAGGGTGATATAGGGGGGAAAATCGAATAAAAGAAAAAAAGAGAATGAGGCAGTGGACGGAAAGACGAGCTTCTTGTCCCCCAAAGAGCACAGTTCAATCCAATCTGTAAGCTGACGACTGCCTCCGTAAAGTTCATCCGCTGTCTCGTCCATCCGAAGTTAGCCTCTTGTTTCCATCCATTTAAAGTAGATTTTTTCCAGCGGCGTCCTTGCTCCGTCCGGCGGCGCCCGCGAAGACTGGGGCGTCGGCCCTTCCTCGACGCGGCTGTGTTGCGCTTCGCTGTCTTCTGCTTTTTTCTCCTTCTTCTTCTTTCTTTCTTTTTTCATCCTTGTTAAGTATATCTTTAAGTATTTCTCCACTTTTTTCTCTTCTTTTTCTATATCATTTTCTACATCATTATTTTTTTCTTCTTCTTTTTCTACATCTGCTTTTATTTCCTTCTGCTTTTTCTGCATCTTCCTCCTCCTCCTCCTTATAGGCCTAGCGTTTCCTGTTAGGCCTCTTAAATCTTTTAAAATGTTATTTGCTGTAAAGTCACTTAGTTTTCAGTTTGTAATCGGCGTTGTTGGCGGTGATGCTCCTTTCCGGCAATCCACATGACAGCCTATGAGGTCGTATAAGAGTCTAGGCGCCTCTCTGATATTTTGTAACGACGTCGGTGTGTCAACATCGACAAGAAGTTCGTTTGATATTTTCATTTTATTTCGATAACTATAATTAAAGTTTTGAAATATCAGCAGAGATAAATATACGAATAGGTGAATGAATAATTAAATGCAAATTTCATGTAGAATTGTCTTGTATAAGTGAATGTATTCGATTCAGGGAGACGTAATCATATTGACATTGAACTGCAACAGAAGAAAAGTGAAATAGGACAATTATTCTTCAAAATGTGAAAAGGTGAAAACAAGAATGTACTTCGAAATCTGGCGTTACGTGGTCTGTGATCTCTCAGATTCCTGTTTCTGTTTGCCAAGCGTGAACTCATGCACCGGCGGGCACTGGAAGGCACAGGCTCTCAGACGCAGACAAACAGATAAGCGAGCAGAGATAAAGAAAAAAAAAACGAGCGAAAGGCGGATCAACAAAGGCAGACAGACGGCGAGAAGGTGTCGGCGCCAGTGAGCGAAACCTCAGGCCGTTAAAGGTGTTTGTGAACCGCATGGGCCAGCGCTCGTGGGCACAGGCGAGGCACACGCACACGCCCACGCACATGTGGCTGTGGCTTATGCGGCCACTAGCACGCCCGGAATGCATCCACTTACATGCATTTACTCATGTGTTCACTCATTCATGTATTCACTCATTTATCCGTTTATTAATCAATTCAGTCACTCGCTCGCCCATACACACACACACAGTAAGCCAACGTGTGTTTTTATTCTATACAGATAGACAGACAAACAAATGAGCATTATGATATACATATACTTAGACGTTCACACTCTCCCACACTAATATCCCGACGGTTAACATGTAAATAAACAGTGGCATTACACTCGGTGTCCATACACACAAGAGAAGCCCCTGGCCCAAGCACGAATGGATAATCACTTGACACTCCGCCGCGTCGATAAGACAATTATGACGTCATTGTGGCTGTAATTGGCCGGCCGGGGTGAGTACTACGGAGTGGGAGAAGGGGGGGAGGTGGGCGCTCTCTCTCTCTTTCTCTTTCTCTTTCTCTTTCTCTTTCTCTTTCTCTTTCTCTTGCTTTCTCTCTCTCTCTCTCTCTCTCTCTCTCTCTCTCTCTCTCTCTCTCTCTCTCTCTCTCTCTCTCTCTCCCTCTCCCTCTCCCTCTCCCCTCCCTCCCTCCCTCCCTCCCTCTCCCCTCCCTCCCTCCCTCCCTCCCTCCCTCCCTCCCTCCCTCCCTCCCTTTCTCTCCCTCTCTCCCTCTCCCTCTCTCCCTCTCTCTCTCTTTTTCTTTTTCTCTTTTCCTCCTCTTTCACTTTTATTTTTTTCCCTTTTTTTACTTTCTTATTCCTACCTTTTTTCTCTTTTTCTTTCTCTCTTTTCTCCCTCTCCCTCTCTTTCTTCTTCTTCTCTCTTTCCCTATGTCTCTTTTCCTCCTTCTCTCTCTCTTTCTCCATTTCTCTCTCTCTTCCTTAATCCTTCCGTTCTTTCTATCTTTCTTATTCTTTCTTTCTGAAACATCAGTTAAGGCCAGATGAAGGGAAATAAGAAAGGGGAGGAAGGAAGATGAAATAAAAGTGGCAATAGAAGAAAGGTGATAGAGTGAAAGAGAGGGAGAAATGAAAGAAAGGAAAAAAAGTAAATGGGTATGAATAAAAGTGAGAGGCGAAAGAGAGAATAGGGGTGGTTGGAGAAGGAGGAAGAGGCGGAGAAAGGAGAATAAGATAAGGGACAAAGGAAGGGAGAGAAGAAGCAGAAAATGAAGAGAGAAAGAAGGAAACCGTTAAAGAGGAATAAACAGAAAATTAAGAAGCGGAGAAGAAAAAGTAAACGATAAAATTAGAAAAGAAATAAGAAGTGGAAAAGAAATAAGAAGTAAGGAAGAGGAAGAAAGGAAGGAGATAGAGTAGTAAAAAAAATAGAAAAAACGAATGTGAAATAAAGTAGGAGAAAAAGAAAAAGAGGAACTGCAAACAGGAAAATGACCAAAAATCAGAGATGGAAAAGGAAGAAAATACCCGAATATGAAGGAGGAAAAGGAGAGATAGGGAAATAGGATGAAAATGAAGCAAGCGAAGGAGAAGAGGACGGAGGAATAAAGGGTTGGAAATAACCAGTGTAAATAAGGAACTATATGTAAGGGCGAAAACAAACAGGACACAAAACTGAAAGCACGAAAAATAAGCAAAAAAAAAAAACGCGAATTAGAAAACAGTAAGAGAAAAAAAAAAAGCAAAATGGCTGGAGAAGTCACGATGAAAAGCCAAACAAGCAAACAACAGAAAAAAAAACGTAATTTCTCCAGAAAGTTAAGTGGAAAGAAATGGAGAGAAAGTGCAAAGGAGAGAAGCCGTTGAAACCCGCCCGCCTCCCGCCCGCACTGCCGCCCGCACCGCCACAACAAAGCGCTTCAGATAATTTGACTAATGGCACCTGCGGCCGCGGTGTTGTCCTCTCGGGGCGCTTGGATTTTAGCCGGTGGTTTGGGATGTAGTGTTTTTTTGTTTTTCATTGGTTTTGGTTTATCTGTAAGTGTTTGTTTGTCTTATTTTTTTTTGTTTCTAAGTCTCTTTTCTTTGGTTTGTTGAAGGAAGTAAGTGACGTACGGCGGTAAATTATATGATATTTGTATCCATTTTTTTGTCTCACTTTATTTTTGTTTTGGCCTTGTAAGTGACCGCCGTTATATTTATCTCTGTCATTATTTTTTCAGTACAAATGCAAACAAAAATAGTGAAAAGTGTAATAATCATGGAAATGTTAAGAGACATAAACAGGACGGGAGAATTAATGTTTGTTTGTTTGTTTCAGATCACACAGGTGAAGCAGTAAATACATCATCATGGTAAGTGTGTGGATAGGTTGATCGATAGACTGAAATAGATAAATGCCGTGCTACCTGTTCTGTAGAATCTCATTTTCCAACTCTTTATGCTATTTTTTCGGTTACATTCAATAGTAGAAGTAATAATAATATGATAATTATAATAACTAACAATAATAATAATGATAGCTAATACAGACAATGATAATAACTAATAATGATAATGATAATAACTAATAATGATAATGATAATAACTAATAATGATAATGATAATCATGATGGTAATAATGATAATAAGATTGATCGTAATTCAGCCATTTCCAACATGCTCACAACAAATGCTATTCGCTCTTCTTTCCCATTCACTAAATTGACATTTTAACATTCAGCAATTTAACATTTTAACATTTTCACATTTCGCAGCACATCCGCACCGGAACTTGTAGCTGCAGTTATTAAAACTAGCATGTAATTTTGAGCGGCAATTCCAAGGGCCAATATTTGATTATCTTGTGCCGGTTTGATATCAGGTCTTCCGTGGCGCGGATCGAAAGCCATTTTGCGCTCGGCTTTTGTTTGCGATTCGCGTTCGCCGGGCGGTTATTGTTTTCGTCTTTGTTTTGTCATTTATGGTGTGACTTTCTTTCGTGTGTTTCTTTCCCTCTTGCGTTTTTTTGTCTCGTTCGCTCTCTTTTTCTTTGTCTGCCTGTCTCTTTCTCTCTCTCTCTCTCTCTCTCTCTCTCTCTCTCTCTCTCTCTCTCTCTCTCTCTCTCTCTCTCTCTCTCTCTCTCTCTCTCTCTCTCTCTCTCTCTCTCTCTCTCTCTCTTTCCCTGTTTGTCTGTCTGCGTATGTGTTAGTTTGTATGTTTGTTGTTTGCTTAAATATACTGACAAGCTTACGATACACGAACCATGCAGGTAACCAGGTGTTGAGGCGATCTCTTATGCCAAGTAAGTACGACATAAGACACAGCAAGGAATATATAACCAGGTAGCTCCACTCCCATTTGTCCTGTTGAACCAAAAAATGAATGTGAGTTTTTCCCAGATAGGGAACTCTTTGCTATCAAAATAAAAGAGGAAATTTTTTGTTTTATTTCTGGTAATTATAACAATATCGAATATATTATACAAATTATTATGTATCTAGCTACGAAGGGGCTTCAAAAAGTTCGTAGAACAAGTCCATAACTAAAAATCATATGGAAAGATTTGTATTTCAATGTACCTGAACCAATGTGTTATAATGTGTTCAAACATAAACCCTTAAATGCAGGTAATAACACATCACTCCCAGTTGGAAGTTAGGCACCATTCAATCAGCATGGAATCCACCAAAATCGAGGCCAGGACAAGCATTAAATTCATGTTGAAACTCGGTTGGAAGAATAGGCAAATCATTGACGCTTATGGTGACAATGCCCCAAAGAAATCAACAACCTACAAATGGATAAGTTGCTTCAAACTGGAAGAAACGAAATTGAGGATGAGCCCCACAGTCGCAGGCCATCAACATCAGTTTGTGAGGAAAACATTGATGGTGTCTGCAATATGATTGAAAAGCATAGACAAATAACCACTGAATCGGTAGCAGACACACTCAACCCTAGGCTGTTGTGCCCAGATCAACAGCAAACAAGGGTAGATCTTTCAATGGAAATCTTGAACAGGTGGGATGAGGACACTGAAGCTTTTCTGCAGAGTATTGTGACAGGGGATGAAACATGGCTCTACCAGTACGATCCCGAGGACAAAATTCAAAGCAGTAGCTGTCCAAGGGTAGAAGTGGACCAGTCAAAGCAGAATTTGATCATTCAAGAGGCAAGGTAATGACCACTGTCTTTTGGGCTGCAGAGGGGATTTTGCTGGTTGACTTCCTCAAGAGCAAGAAAAGAATTACATCTTATTATGAATGGATTTTCAGAAAACTGTCAAAAAAAAATCTCAGAAAAATGCCGTGGAAAGCTGCATCAACACAACAAATCACCCGCTTAAGGTGCTTGGTAGACAAGAGCTGTGCTATTTGAATTTCAATGGGAAATTGTCCAACATCCACCTTACAGCCCCGATTTAGCCCCATCCAACTTCTTTTTGTTTCCAATTAAAAAAAACAAAAACATTGAAAGGTACCAATTTTCCATCGGTTAAATATGTAAAAAGAGCTGCTCTGATGACATGGTTCAGATCACATGACTTCCAACTAGCGGCGATGCGTTATTACCTGCATTTAAGGGTTCATGTTTGAACACGTTATAACACGTTGGTACAAGTATGTTCAGTGAGCTGAAATCCAAATCCTTCCTAATGATTTTTAGTTATGGACTATTTCCACAAACTTTCTGAAGCCCCCTTGTATATCTGATATCTCAGGACGCGCACTCATTGGTAAACGTGATGATGTCATTAGCTCCGCCCCTTTATTTGAGCTGGTCAGTCTGTGCGATATTTTATGGTGAGTGCTTTTTCCAGTGCAGTTTCTTTGAAAATGCTTCTGTAATAACAATAATAGAAAAATAAACAAACACGAAAAAAAAAGCTAAATTTGCCATGACTAAAGACAAAGAGGCGGAACTCGGAAGTTGCCAACTAGGATTTCATCAGCGCAGAGTGGGGCTACCTTGTTCAAACTACCTTGAGACAGGTAGATATACACATACAAACACATGTAAACAAAACTACACAACCACAGCCACAGCAAAAGGCCCTCTCCCTCTCCCTTCTCTCGTACCATGCCAACCACTCCCTCCCCCTCTTTCTGGGTGACTGTCCCCACTCCAGCCTCTCCCTCCCCCTTTCCCCACTCCTACGGCCTTAACTCCCCCCTTCTCCCCTCTTCTGAACCCCCTTGTATAACTGATTTTTTTTTTCTAAACCCTTATCTATAATTTATACTATACTGCATACCATATTATACTATAATTTGTAACCAGCTATTTAAGTGTAACTGATGCCTGATAACTGTAAGTGATTTGAATTTAAATTTGAACTCTTCGTCCCCTCCACTCCTACTCCGCCTTCCTCCCACACTCTCCTAAGGGTCCTCTCTCCTCCCCCACTCCGACCCGCTCCCCCTCCCCCCACTCCAGCCCTCTTGCCAAACCCCACTCTTAACACCCTTCCCTGCCACATTACCCCAATTCTCTCCCCACTTCCAACCCCTCCCCTCCGCTCTCCCTCCGCCCTCCTCGCCCCCTCCACATACCCCTCGCCCCCTCCACATACCCCTCGCCCCCTCCACATACCCCTCGCCCCCTCCACACCCCCTCCGCCCCCTCCACACCCCCTCCACACACACCCTCGCTCCCTCCACACACACCCTCCGCCCCCTCCACACACCCCTCCGCCCCCTCCACACCCCCCTCGTCCCCTCCACACCCCCCTCGCCCCCTTCACACCCCCTCCACACACCCCCTCGCCCCTGCCCGCGCACAACTGACGCCTGGCCCCCTGCGGCTCCTCTTCCCCCAGAGATTCCGCTTCTGCTGGGACGTGGATTGCCCCGACTGGCTCCTGGCCGAGATCGCCGCCCTCTCCAAGATGGTGAGCGCCTATCGGGGTCAGCCAGTGCCCCTTCTGGATTTGCTGTTCTGTTGTCTCTTGTTTTACGATTTTTTCTTTTTTTTTTCTTGGTAGATTTTTTATTCTATTTATCCCATTTCGTTTTCTCTCTTTTTCCCCTATCTTGTTTTTTTTCTGGTCCTTTTCATATATTCTTTTTCTTTTTGTTTATCGGTTCTTATTGTAATGTGTTTGTTCATATACCGTTATCAGCATTTTTTTTCTGATTTTCTCTATCTTTCTTTTTCCCTCCATCTATTTATTCACATTTTTTTTTCTATTTTTCAGATTCTCTCGATCTTTCTCACTTTAAATACATATTTTCTCCAGCTCTTGACGTCATTCGTGAGAGTCACGTGTTCATCTCTTACACTGCGTTCCTGATGTCTTAAGATATTTAAAGAAAATGAAATTACAAAGTTCTATGTGATGAAAATACCTTATCACATTAATTAAATATCTTATGTTTATATTTAATTGTATATCCTTCGAAAAGACAGCATATCTTTTCATGCCTAGAGCATAATAAGTATGGATATTTTATATAACATCTCCCTATCCTATCTATATAGTTATATTTTCATCATAAATATTCATTATATATAGTAGATTCTTTTAATTTGATACTATGGTGTTTATATAATCATATTTCCATTACATGATTTCTATAATAATAAAAGTCTATTTCTTTAACAGACTCCGTGACTTACCATATAGTTTTATCTCCAGCACAGATTTAGATCATTCCAGAACATTCTTTTAACTGATGCTTGTTGCCGTAACAGACCTCGGTGAAGCTGCGTCTGCTGGTGGGCCA